GGCTGGTGACACTCACCGTCGAGGATAGCAGTGTGGCGGGATGGGCTGCTCCTCCTCGATGGCCACAACAACGATGCACCTCCTCGACGCCAGCAACGACAGGCAAGGTGGCGATGGGCGCAGGAGGGTGGCGGACGGCGACAGCGGGAACTACGACTGAAGCAAGGCGGGAAATGCAACTGAAGGAGGTGAGAAATGCCTTCAGCGGGGGTTTCAAACTTCGAAACCCCAAGGCGGTCCAGGCTTGAGCGCAGGCCCAAAAAACATTTTGGCGGCACCGGCCGCATTTTTCCGAAGGGGCCTCGGACCTGCCGTTTCGAGCCCCGTGCTCTTTTTTTGGGGGGGGGTGGGGGGTATTTCTTCATCGGCCATACAGCCGTGCGCCGCACGGGTCCGGTCCGGCGGTCCGGCAGACGTGCGAGACCGCGCCGACGACGTCCGCTTGCAAGTATGCTTGAAAGTACTTGAGTTTCAAGTGCACACTCAACGAGAATTTGTGATTAATTTACACTTATCGATTTATGGTTCCACGTACACTTGAGGAAACCCTTGAACAGGCTGCCCTTGAAACCAAGCTCCACGGCTTGACCAAGCCTGGACCAGGATCGCCTGCTGGAAAAAAAGAAAAACAAAAAAAATGTCCCACTTGGAATGCTGGCGGTATCCCCTCGCACTTGAACTCAAGGCTCCCCAGAGAGGTACCTTGAGTTCAAGTGCAATTTTGCCCTGGACGCACTTCAGTTTCGAGGGCGGGCACTTGAGAGCCGGAAAGTAGAAACAACTCCGCAGCGACGTTAGGGTGGGGCCGAACGAAAATTTCCCTTCAACCCTTGAGTTCAAGTGGTGTTGAACGAGGCCCAACCTTTGTTCCGGAGTACCCCTTACATCTGGCACACACACGATGTTGCCCCTCATTGTGGTCAAGGCCCCTGAGACAGCAGCATTGATTACTTCACGTAACAGGGAGGGTCTACTACCGCTCCACCCGTGCTTTCCTTTCCTTAGTCTAATCTCTGAGAAAGGCAACCTTCCTTCTATTCCAGTTCCAAAAGACTGCTGACCAACGTGGACCCTAACTGGGGACCCCTCTCAGACCACAGTTATGGGATGCCAGAATAGACAATTGAACCAAAGACTTTCCAAAGTTCTCCTCAGAGCTGAAAACTGGGTCCAGTGTCCCTTAAAAAATGCCCCTTTAGTCCTCAGATGAAATATTGAATAACAAAGCCTCCCCTATTTTTTTCTGAAGGTGTCCCTATGCAGAGATTGGCTATGCGTGGTTCTGTTTTATGAACTCTTATCCTTGACAGCTACTAATCTTTTATCCTGTCCTTTCAGTGACATTGCTATTTCTGAAACATACTGGTTAAGTTCCCCATCTAGATACTCCAATTGTTCATGGCTTTCTGCAGGAAGTGACAGTCCCTCAACACCAATCTCTAAAGAGAATAGTGTGGCCTTTCAGTTGTGCTAATCTGCCCTCATTGAGCCAAGTGCCGGAAAAAAATCTTCCGCAAGAATTCTTTTCTATTCAACTATTTCTGCCTCTAATTTTCTCAAGATTATCTTCCACTGACACGAACTTCCACCTCCACAATTGAATTGAACTCTGGACTCCCCACAAGCTAACTCCTCCTGAGAGCGAAAAAAGACGGAGAAACCATGCCACTCATGCGTGTCGATCTAACCTCTTTAAGACTTGCTGTTGATAACACATCAAAATCTTTCGGAACCTTCTGAAGGAAGAGGTCCCTCACGCTCCCGCCAACAAGGTAACACTCATGACCTGGGTCACCAACAACATTGCAGAAAAGACGAACGGCAGAGTACGATGTAAGCTCCTCAAGCCATCGACCGTTGTTTCCCTACACACTTCCTTTACCATCCACTATCCATTGATGGAGACCTTGCAAAAGCAGACATTCATGATCTTTGTGCACGCCCTTTCCCCTCCATGTTTCATGCCTGACAAATAGTCAGGCACTCTTTTGACCATGATGGTCTTCGATCCATGTTTGCTCTTTCCCCACCCCACTCGCTTGGGCTGCCATTTTCAGCCAAAAAGATGTGAACAAACAGCACTGTAGAGCGATCCTCGTTGCCACCTGCATCCATGATGAACATGCAGTTCTGTAGGTCTTCTCACAAAGGATGGGCCGTAGAATGAGATAGCATAAAATTGATCACAGCTCTCTCTCTCTCTCTCTCTCTCTCTCTCTCTCTCTCTCTCTCTCTCTCTCTCTCTCTCTCTCTCTCTCTCTCTCTCTC